GAGGCGGGACCTCGTGCACAAACTCTGACGTGCGGCTGTGATCTATAAATGAAAGGTGCGCAGAAACATGCGTGCACACGGTTTTAAAAATCTGAATTTATTTATTTTTTGGCGTACGCCATTTCCGCCTTTTGGCCGTACGTTCACTTTTAGTATGGTTTCTACACAATCCTTTATAAATGAGACCCCAGGGTAGTTTCAGAGCACTTGTTATCATAAGTGCTTCCCTTCCCATGCAACAGTTTCAAGGCTTAATTAAAACAGGTTTACAACAAAATCCTGGCTTAATCCCTTATCCTAGATTCATGCAATAGGCCTCAGGTCACACCCCTAGGATATACTAAAAATGTAAACATTATTTGAATGCTGCTGTAGGGAAGCACATGTTTATGTTGATCTTTTTTGTTGAAAATAAATGACTAAAATAATCACAAAGTATATGATGTACTAAGGCTGGTTCTAAAATTCAGTTTATAAGTCACAGTATTTCCTTCAAACCACCTGACAGATTTTATTGAAACCTGCAGAAAGTAATCCTTAGAAGGATTTCCAGCACATCTTCTGTTTTCCTTGTTTTTCTTTTCTTTTTCTTGCAATAACAAAACTGCTCCGTTCTATTCAGAATCCTACCATGGTGCCATAATCTAGAAATTCATATTCAATATAAAATATTTATTTACAATTTAAATCTACTACTCAGCTGATTTAATGGTATCAAAGTCTGAATCCTCGTGGTATCAATTATATCAGGACCAATGGTTTGGGTTTTCTGTATTCCTGTGGGTCCTGGTTAAAAAAGAGGCAACACGTTTCCATCTTTAACCATCTTGTAAAGGATTTCTTCCAAACCTTTAATCTCTACAGATGTAGTTCTACAGGGATGCTTGACTATACTTAAGCTGAGRAAAAAAAAGAATATTATGATGTCTGATTTTGATGTTGGCAGTTTTTTGAGGGGAAGAATGTGGGTTAGAGACTCACCAAGTAGAGAATAAAATGCTGCAAAACTTATTACCAAATATAGTGCAGATATTTTTGGTAAATTGCAAGCTATTGTAATTCAGCCCATGCACATATTGACCAGGGATGGATTTCTTTCTACTATCTCTCTAATATTTCCTTGATTAGCAGTGTAGCAGAAATCACACTTTAATGAGAAATGTCCATTGCAATTTCCAAGACTCTAATCACAAATACATGTCTTCTTGTTTTTTTATTATTTTTCCAAAGACTCTGATAAGTTACACTTTATAATCTCATTAGGGCTAATTTGTGCAATTTTTTTGTGGGTATTTAACAGGAGCTTGTCTCAGTTTTGCAATTGGATTTTAAAACTATGAGTGAAACATAATAAGATGTTTCCACGAGATTCAAATTATTTTAAACTCTGTCTGCTTTGCCTTGCAGCTTCACTCGAACTCGGATAAAGGCGATGGATCCGTCAGGTACATTCTGAGCGGAGAAGGAGCTGGGACTATATTTATCATTGATGAGGTGACAGGAGATATTCATGCCACTAAGAGCCTGGATCGTGAAAGGAAAACACATTATGTCCTGCATGCACAAGCCTTGGACCGCAACACAGAGGAGGCCCTAGAACCAAAGTCGGAATTCATAATTAAAGTGCAAGACATCAACGACAACGCACCTAAATTTCCAAACGGACCCTTTGTAGCGACGGTGCCTGAGATGTCTGAAGTGGGTGAGTATGGCTGCTTAATGAACTGAACGTCTGAATTATTGTTCTTTTCAGTCAATGGCAGTATAACATCAATAAAATGTGGAAACATGAATGCATTTGGCAAAACATTATTTACTACGTTGATATTTTTCATGTCATCATTCCATTAGGAGCCTGTGGTACAAAAACTATTGGGGGACATAAAATAAAGTGATTTGTATGAAGAGCTGCAATCGAACATTTACACTGTGATGCACTGTAGTTTGTCTTCCAGTCAGTAATGTTTTTCAGTGTGTTTTATCTTCTGTAAGCCAGTCAAGTCCCCTTTTTCAACTTTTTTATTTTCCTCTCTCTGGATGCTGTTACGGCTTCCTTCCCGGGTGGATAGGTCTTTATAAGCACTCAGTAGTGCCTCCACAGCAATCCCCACCATCAAGACGATGGTGTCCTCCACATCACGAAGGAAAGGAAAGCCTTTATCCACCTCCACTGAGACAGCTACTCCTTCTATGCCCAGCATCATGTGACTAATATTTATCTTTTATTTCTTTGTTCCCCAATTCTGTTTTTAGCTCGGATGAACAAAAGCCATCTTTTACTCAGTCCAGTGGATTCTGCCTCATGGCACAGTCGCTCCAGAATAGGATGCTCTAATATTTTGAAATGATATAGGTTACCCAAACAGTGGCCAAAGTGGCTGTCAGAGCGATTTTGCTTCAAATACAATATTGTGGAAATGACAGTTTGTTGAAGGTATCCTTTAAATGTATGTCTGCATGAAATATATCCACTCCTAGAAAATGTATATTTTAAACAGCGAATGAACAGCTTCATCAGCTCTGTAGAGGAAGAAGCTGTGAAAAGCTGGTTAGAAATGCAGACCCTGAGAGACCTGTGGGAGACCTCTTTACAAACAGTCAATATCTCCCTGGTAGGTTCGTGAATATTCATGAATGGAAGGCTTGACGCACATACGCCTTTGCTTGTTAGTATGGTTCTTTCTAAGCCAGGCATGTCAAATAAATGTTTAATAATTGACACATGGCAAATATTTAGATTTCAGTTCATGAATAACTATTGGATACTTGATCTTTGGCTCCAAATGGTACAGAGTAATGGCAACGTGCTTGCAAAATGTCCACTGACATCTTTTGTTAAGTTCCGAGGAGACTGCAAATTTGAAAGTTTTGCTTTAAAAAAATTCAGTAGCACATAAATAAATAAATAAACAAATAAATAAATAAATAAATCAGAAAAATCAATCACCAGTGATGCACCAGGGGAAAGAATCAAGGACGTGAAGGGGAAAATAATTAGCCTTTTTCCGCCCCCTCATTTGCTCATGTCCATTAAAGTAATTCTGCTTCAGTTGGGTGTTTTCAGCGTCAAATCAGCTGTAACAATCAACTGTCCTCACACTCCAGAGCGCTAATCCCCCCACATTTGTCAATACTGGAGTTTCAGAGTGTTAGAAGGGGCTGTCTTGGACTGTGGCAGCTAACTGGCTCTGATGCTCCTTTTCCTGTCCTAATTGATTAGCTGGGCACAAGGCAGGTGGTTCAACTGCTTGATCCTTTTACTTATTCGACAATGATACTTTATGAATGATGTCTKGAAGGACTGTCTTTTTTTTCAGTACCAGAAAAGCTATAATTAGCTTCCAAAAATAAATAAAGAAAGAAAGAAATAAACAAAAATCTGAGGTTTTACTGGATTTGAAACAGAAGTATTGCTAGACCTATTTAGATCAGTTGTTAAGACTGAATTGATGTTTTTTTTCAATATTAGTTTCCCTAAATTGTCTCATATAGGCTACTGCTTTTTAGCACTCATGTTTGCTTTGGAAAGCCAAAGGTTTTTTTTTCGATATATAAGGACAGAGTATTCTAATAAAAGTATATGTTGTTCAGTAATGTTCAGTAATAACTTATGTTATAGTAAAATGATGAAACAGTGCTATTAGACATGTTTTCCACGAGCAATGTAATAAGTATTTCATTATTTTTTTTTTTCTGTTTTAACCTGGGACAGACAAATATTATTAGGGGTTTAGCATTATCCCATAATATGAGGGGGAGGGACATGCACAGATTTGTAAAGAAACAAATTGACAAAAAATGTCCCACAATGTTTAACTCCATGGGCACAGTTTAACACTCCAGTTTAAATGAGGAGATAAAGTGCTGGATTGTTAATCGTCTACAAAAAGTCAGTGAGAAAAAAAATGGTTTTGTTTTTTTATTCATTGCATTGTTATATTTGTGCATAACAGGTCTCTTGCAAATGAGACAATCATGTCTCAGCAAGACTAACATTATAAATAAAGGAAATTAATCAATAAATCACCACATGTAAAAAAGATTTGAAAATGTGCATCAATAATGATTGTTCTACTTTCTAATCTATAAAAGAAATTTAAAGGGGCAATATTATGTGTTTCTCAGGCATACATTTAAATAGTATACAATAGTAAAGTATCTATGTCACCTTTAGCTGTTGTTAAAATGCTGTTTTTATGTTTAAATAGAAAATAAACTTATCTTCTCATCACTTCCTCTTCTAAACGCCTTGACATTGGCCTCTGTCTCTTTAAGAAGGGGGTCGCGCTCTCGGTGGGGGGGGGGGGGCTGCCATGATGCAGTTTACTTGGCATCTGAAAATACATTTCCTCAAAGGTATTTTTAATCTGAAAAGAGCTTCACTGAGTGAGAACTAATGTTGAGAGCTCAGCAGACAGTTTAAGTTTCACTTTCACCTGAGAGCCTGCAGGAGTCATGGGCGGGGTGTGTGGGGAAGGGGGAGGGGGACACTCCACCATGAGGAAGTTTGGCTTACCCCAGATTTACACTACATGCGTCGTCTCCACTGTGCTGCGCTGTGGTGCGCAGCGCAGCTGTTCGTTTGTGCTCCAATTTATACAGCGTCTGCTGCGCTCAGCTCCGGTCCGTTCTGACACACAGAGGAGGGAGGGTGTGCAGGAAGGAGATTGCGCGATAAGTTATTGATTAATGTGGAAGTCACATCCATCCAAGACGAACTCCAAACAAAGCTGAAAACATTGATATAAAGGATTTTGATGTATATATTGAAACTGTACCGCTGTCGTCTTTCTGAAACTTCTGATTTCAAAATAAAATCCATGTGTATCGTGTGTGTACACATACGCTTCATGCAACATGTTTTCATCTGCTTCTCAAACAGAACAATACATTCTGACAGCATTTGTGTAGAAATATATCCATTGTGATGGACTTGCGACCGGTCCAGGGTGTACCCCGCCCCTCGCACTGTGACTGCTGGATATGGGCACCAGTGACCCACGCAACGCTGAAAAGGAAGAAGCGTGTACAGAAAATGGATGGATGGATGGATATATCCATAAATTGATTAATATAGCTGGGATTTCAACATTATTCAGACAAATTATCCCGCCTAATAGTGTCTTATTTTGTAAATAYGGATGTTGTGCTCGTTTCTCTTCCTGTTGGTGCATCATAATCTTTAAAAATTGACTCCGGCGCAGCTCCGGCATCCGGAAAAATAGAATCTGTTCTAATTTTGCCGGATCACTGTCCGCAGCCAGTGTAAACACTCTCATTGATTATAATGGGTGCGTATATGCTGCGGAGGTCGGACAGGAGAGGATCCGTAACGCATGTAAGTGTAAATTAGGGGTTGAAGACATGTCCCAGGGGCATTTCTAGTCCCAAAAGGCATTTTTGGTCCCCACCTGTCATTTTGCTGCTCAGCATGGCTGCCTAATAACACTGCAGGATTTCTCAAACATGCATGAATGAGTCAAAGCAAGGCTTTGGGCATGTTTTTTTTTTATGAGAATATAACATTTTAACATGATATAAAACTAAAAAAAAAATGATTTCACATGATATTGCCCCTTTAAAAAAACACTCATAAAATTAAAGGYGCACTGTGTAGGATTTTGTCAATTCTTTTAGCCAAAATTGAGATAATCACTAATGACAATGATAGCTGGGATAATTTTACTTATTAAAGCGTATAATCTTACCACTTGAAACATCACTAGCCCTGAAGCTGCTGGTAGACATCGYGGTTGGAATTATCAAAGKTTTTTGACACCTGAGAGACACCGTAGCTACTCCYTTGCGTTTGGAAGCMGRGGGTKGGGGGAGGACMAGGGAGGAWGATTCAACCACTGAACCACTAGATGTCGCTGAAAACAACAAATCCTACACACTSTGCCTTTAAGTCAACAATGTTGTTGGAACTGGCTTTAAAGTTTCTAAATGCAAAATATGTTGGTTCTACCTAAAGAATAGCAAAACAAATGCTATGTCCATTAAAATGATAGCAATTCTAAGTGGACTTTTTTACAGAGTGCTCCTGTTCTGAAACCAAAAAAGACAGTTAAATTGGGTTTGAAAGAGGAAAAAAGTTTTTTGTTGTGTTTTTTTTTCAGATGCCAATAGTTAGTACTGCTGTTTATTTTTTTCTTGTACCTTTTGAGCTGAGTTTCTTGCTTACTCATTAATCATTGACATTTACAGAAAAAAGGTTCAATCTTTTTCTTTTATGGGAAATGAAAAATGAGCTTATTTTTCATAAAAGTAGAATTACAGCAATAATGTACTATTCACTGTGTACTATTTGATTCTTGAGTGATTATTTGCTCATCCAGTCAAAAACAGGACTGAATCTATTGAAAGAACTTAGACCTTTTTAATACAATAGTCATTATTTCAATGGCTCTATATAKTGTATACAGTGGATATTGCTTCAACACTTAAGTTGAAGTGCTTTGAGAGCACAGCTAAGCACAATGAACTCGTATCATAAGTGTATAATGACAACATTATCATCAGAATATGAAATTAGATATTCCAGTTTTAAACACTTGCATACACAGAAATATATACACAATAAGATAATAATTGCTAAAAAAAGTTTGATATGTATTAAATAAAATGCTATTAACATCAAACA